GATTTACTGAAATAGGCAGAGGGGAGGTCAGGGGATGTTGCTGCCTCTGCTTACTCCTGGGGTGGTGCTGCCAAAATATATGAAATTTTACTGCCTGCCAACGTCAACAGAAACTTCAAACTTTTGCTGTTGCAGCTGGCAGCGCTGCCTCGGCTGCTGTGACTGCGGCTGCTATAGCTGGTGCTGCCTCTGCTGCTGCCGCTGCTTCTGCCTCTGCCTCTGCCGTTGCTGTTGAGTGAGCGCGTGGAATGTTGCCATATGCCGCCATATGTACATCTATACATATTAAATGCTGCTCTCTGCTCTCTCCAATGTATGCCTTTCTCGCTCTGCCGCTCTTCCTCTCTGTCTGTCTCGTTCTCTCTCTGGCACACAGCATACACAGAGCTGGGCTCTCGCTGAGTTGTTTGCGCTGTACAGGCTGGGTACAGTCGCTGCCACCAGCAGCAGCGACGGCGACGCTGGCAGCAGCAATAATGTCCGTCCCTTCAGCCAAATCGTCCAGACGTGCAGACTTTTGACTGTGTATGTGTGTGTGTGTGGGAGGGGGGCGACCACTTTTTCGTGCTTGACGATGTTGTTGCTGATGCTGCCTGCCGCCTGCTGCCCACTGCCTGCCCGCTGCCTGCTCATACTGCCTGCTTGTTGTTTTTGTTGCTGCTGTTTCTTTGATTGCCATAAACAGGGTGTCACAGTTGTTGCTGACAAGAAAGGGAAATCTGGATTGGAATGTGAGCATGGTCAAATGTGATATATTAAAGCAGAGCAAAATGAATTAACATTGCGTCAAATTGTTTTTGCCGACTGCCAGATAGACTGACTGATTAAATGATTGATGAGTTAGGCATATTTGGAAATGCAAAGGGTTTGACTTTTTTGACAGCTGTGAAAAGCTCATGCGAAAGCGAAAATTAGCTGTAGAAAGCGTGTAAGAATATTTAATAATATAAGGCCAATTTTTTAAGTATTAATGTTTATTATTTATGTTTATTTTTTAATGTTACATAATCTGAATAAAAATGGCTGCTCATGGAAATTTAGGTAACAACGGTAATCACCTTGTATACGTGTTAAATTTATGAAATAATTTTAAATTAATGCCAAAACTCAATAGCTATTTAGTTTAATAAAATAGCTTTAAACTTACTTTATGACTTGGTAAATATTTTTTACCACCTTGAACACCCTGTTTATGCAAAATTCAATATTCAACAATGTCTAATAGGCAGCAATTTTGATTTAATAAAGTCAAAATCCATGAACGACCTGCATAACAATGTACATACCACAAACACAAACAGAAGCACACACACAAGTGCATGCAGTAAAAAAAAAATAAAAAATGTGAGACACCCTGTATGCAAAGCATATTTAAGTTTAACAAGTACATAAGCACTTGGCTTCACAAGCACATAAATAGCAAAATGGAATTAAGTTTGCATAGCAAAGAACATAAACTGTAGCAATTACAATAACACCAAATTGAAACTAGTCTAAAGCGACAACAGCAACGACAACAACAACTACAAAGATAATAACACACACCCACCCACACACATACATGCAGAAACGAAACTATTTTTTGTTTCTTGTTTTCAGCCAATGGCACTGAAAATAATAAAAAAAAACAGTTAAAAAGAGAAAACAGAAACAAAAAATTGTAGCGAAAAAAGTAAAAAGGAAAATAACAGAGTATGAAATTTATAATATCCTTTGTGAGCGAGTGCTTTGTGCTGGTGAAAAGTGAAAATGAGTATGTGTAGCTCGATTTCGCTGTGTGTGTGTGTGTGAGTGAGTGAGAGTGTGTGCATGGGTGTCTGTGTGTGGCATTAAGTATTTGACATTTACAAACAGCAGCCACACACACACACACACACACACACACTTGCACACACATCGGCAGCGTCACCATTGCGTCAAAGAGGGCGATAAGATATCTTGGTGTCATGATAGACACAAGATTAACTTTCCGCGAGCACTTAGAATATGTGCATAAAAAGGCAGCTGATTCTTGTAGAGCTCTCTCGAGAATCATGCTTAACACGCGGGGACCTAAACAGCAACGACGTCTCCTCCTAATGAGCGTCATTAGGTCTGTCATCCTCTATGCTGCGCCAATATGGGCAAGAGCGATGGCAACGCCGAGCTACAGCCGAGGCATTTGCGCGATCTACAGGCTGAGCGCAATCAGAGTCAGCTGCGCTTTCAGGACTATCTCCGATGACGCGGCGCTCGTCATAGCCGGTATGGTGCCACTGGAGTATTTGGTCGCCGAAGCCGTGGAGCGGAATTCGCACGGGCCTACGCGACTCAACGCTGTCAGGGCGAACAGCATCGCACGATGGCAAAGAAGGTGGAATAGCTCAGCTAAAGGGCGGTGGACGCACAAGCTCATCCCGGAGCTTGAACCATGGGTTAACCGCAAACATGGCGAGGTTAACTTCTACCTTACGCAGATCCTCTCGGGTCATGGATGCTTTCGGAGCTATTTGAAGCGCTTTGGCCACGAGGAATCTGACGAGTGCCCCTGGTGCGAGCGAGGGCATGTGGAAGACGCCAACCACATTCTTTTCGAATGTGGACGGTTCCTGGAGGAGAGGCGTCGTCTGGAAGAGGCAGTGGGCCGCTCCATCAGAGCGGACAACTTAGTCAACGCCATGCTGGAATCGGAGGAAGCTTGGGAACTAACAAGCACCTTCGCGGCCACAGTGATGATGGAGCTCCGCAGAGTCGAGCGACTGAGAAGACGAGCTGTCCCAGGCTAAGGTAGCGCATAGTGCTTGCGAAGCAATGCTTTACGGCCGTCCCGCAAGCACCGCGCGCTATCCTAGCCACCACACAACTTGCAATTTTTTATTTTTTATTTTGTCAATAAATGAATATAAAAAAAAAAAAAAAAAAAAAAAAAAAAAAACACTTGCACACACACACACACACACACACACTCGCACACACTTACAGCTGCTGTCGTTTGTGCCGGGCAAATAGTTAAAACTAAAATAAATGTAGTTGTTGTGCACACACACACACACAGTCGCACACTCACTCACACACACGCATACGCACACACACTCAGGCGCACACAAGATAGCCGCCATTTTGGTGCGCGTCCTTCGTGCCTTGGCCGCGCTGATAAGTATGCAATGCTTGTGTTTGGCTGCCGCACAAAATCTCATTATATTTGTTTTATTTTATTTGCTGCCTCATCGTCGTTTTCTTTTTCTTTTGCTTCTTCAGCTGCTGCTGCTGCTTTTACTTCTCGTTTTCGTTTTATTTGACTTTTTTTTTGCAATGCCCTGTCATTTTTCATTAAATACAGTTGGCTGAACTTGTGAAACATTTTGGTTGCTTTTTTAGAGAGAGAAGCTTTTAATTAATACTTTTATACTTTATTTATATGTATGTATATCTTAAAACTCCCTCTTATATAGGTAAAAAAAATACATTGTTAATTGCTTTTAAATTAAAAATAAGTAGCTTTTTTCTGCATTTTGTTTTTTTAAATATCTTTCATTTAATTTTACAGTAACTTCTTGTAATTTTTGCTCAAATAATTATAAGAGCAGGTCCTATCCTAATGCGAGCTCTATTTTGTTCTCAAAATATGTTCCCTTGTGATGTATATTTTCATCTTACCTGCACTTACATTTTTTTTTTTTTTTTAACTTAAATTATTATGTTTTTTTCCTATTCCTGCGTTTTTATAGCATACTTTTATGGGCTCATTTTGAAATTCATGGGATACCAACTCATTTGACGCACGTTCTCGCTGTATCTATAATTTCTACCTTAAAGTACAAGCTAGCTAAACTTAATTTAAAATCCACTTGTAAGAACGTACATCAACTACAGAACATCTTCTAGTCCAACACTCGTTCGCAGCTAGAACATTATTTCTTGACTTTTTTCCACATTGCTTGCTTTCTGTTGCTGTCTATTGCTATGGTTTGACCAAAGTACTTTTATGTGTCTATATATATATATATATATATATATATATATATAGAAATATATAGCATATATATACTCAACTAACTTTGGCCAGTTGACCGTCTACTGCAGCGCTCCGCCCCCAGCCCCGCCCATGGCATTGTCATCTACTTACTTACTACTTACTGCCTGCTTAGTTATTGTTTTAGTGTGGCCTTTTGTTTGAGAATTATTAACAATGGAAGTTGCCAAGTGAAAGGTGCTCGGCCAGTGGACTAGACGAGGGGCAGAGCAACACTTTTAATAGCATTTAATGCACCTGCACTTACACACACTCACGCATCATGGACGTTAAGTAGCTTTTTGTTCTTAGCTGCAATGGCTGCAGCAGATGGACTTAATAGAGTGATATGGAAAGATATGTAGGGAGTGAATAGGTGAGAGAGAGAGAGAGAAAGAGCCATGCCTGCAATAACAGCAGCATTAACAGTATTATTATTAGTAGCACCATCATAATTATCATTCATGATTATTATGTACTTATAAGCGGCTTTCTAAATGCTTCACTTGCCGCGTGCTCGTTCATTATTTATTTATTTTTTGATTGTCGCTTCAATTTCACTCCCAGCCTGACCTGAATGGCCGTGTCTCTGCGTCGTGTTTAGCTCGTCATTTATAATTGCGAAATGATGCGCCCATTATCTAATTTCATAATTAAATAATGTGGCACAAAGCTATTTTAAATGATGTTAATTATACGACCATCAAGGCCAACAAATCATTTAAAGAGATGTGGAAACTGTTTTATTTAATCGATTTTCATGTGGCCTAACTAGCTGTTAAATACTTGACATGAGCTTAGCAGTGGAGTTGCCAGACTGCTAAAAATGTATATTATAAAAGTATATTTAATTTGAATTATGGTAAGAAATACTAACGATGGCATGCAGTTATTCCTGGAAAAAATACCATGAGCTTTAACACGATGTGTAAACTTTATTTTGTATTATAAAGCATGATAAATACATGACCCTTACCATTGCCTCCTATGCTAAGGAGATTTTCAACAAAATCGGGTATGCCTCACAGTTTGAGTATAATTATTTTAGGCCATACCAGCCTCATAAAGCAGGCATTTCGAATACACACATACGTAATGTTTATTTAGATTTTTCGATTTATTAAATAAAGAACGTTTTTAACAATCATTTCTAGGAGGTATCCACCCGGACTCCGTGCTCAACAGCAAACAGCTAAATTGATCGCCTCAATCAATGACCGGGCAGCAACTAGACATTGTATTTCGCTGTTAACGACTGTGAAGGCTGTGAAGGTGAGCGGTGATCATCGTCATAGAAGATGGCTACCAAGCCGGTGTCATCCGGCCGCGTGAACCTCGCGAATTTGGCTCTGGAGAATCGCATAGTCGGTGGCAAATATCGTTTGCTCAAGTCGATTGGCAGCGGTTCGTTTGGTGAGATCTATCAGGGCATTAATACGCAGGACGGCAAGGATGTGGCTGTCAAAATCGAGGCGATCGATGTCAAGTATCCATTGCTGCGCTACGAGGCAAAGGTCTATGAGCAGATCGGTCCGCATGCTGGACTGCCGGCACTCTTGCACTACGGCAGCGAGAAGCGCTTCAATGCGTTGGTCATGGAGCTGTTGGGCCCCTCGCTGGAGGATCTGTTCAACCTGTGCAAGCGCCACTTCACGCTGAAGACAGTCCTCATGCTGGCCGATCAGCTGCTGATGCGCCTCGAGTGCGTGCATCAGCATGGTTTTATACACCGCGACGTGAAGCCAGATAACTTTCTGATGGGCATCGGCAGGAATTGCAACAAATTGTATATGATTGACTTTGGCTTGGCCAAGCGCTATCAGGATCCGGAGCGCTCCCAGCATATACCGTATCGCGAGGATCGTAATCTAACCGGAACGGCACGATATGCCTCGATCAATGCACAGCGCGGCATCGAGCAATCACGTCGCGACGACTTGGAGTCTCTTAGCTATTGCATTATGTACTTCAATTTGGGCAAGCTGCCCTGGCAGGGCATTGTGGCGCCGAACAAGCAGCAGAAATACGAGAAGATATTGGAGTTGAAGCGCAGCATGTGCATCGATGAGATCTGCAAGTCGTGGCCCGTCGAGTTCGCCCTGTTCATGAAATACGCGCGCAACTTGCGCTTCCAGGACGAGCCCGACTACGTCTATTTGCGTCAATTGTTTCGCCTGCTCTTTCGCACCCTCAATCACCATTTCGATCATGTCTACGACTGGACCCACTTGCACCAGCAGCACAAGGAGCGCGAGCGTGACCGCGACCGCGATCGGGATCGGGATCGGGATCGCAGTCGACGCGATCCCCAGCAGCTCGTCGAATTGGAGGTGAAGCGTCTGCGGCGCACCCGAGTCGAACAGACGCGCCTGAGCAGTCGCTTGGAGATCGGCGACGGGCACAAGCACAAGCATCACGATGACAAGCAGCTGAAGTGATTCGGCGGTGCTGCTGCATCGAATTTTGATTAATGAAAAGCAAGCAAAAAAGCAAGAACAAAAAATATGCTCTTCCAAATTATTTAAACGACAGACTTGCATGATTGTATGTTAAATTGTTAATGTTTAGCGTTTTATGACTGCGTTTTATTGAAAAACTTTTCCTAAACACCTGCTGCATATATGTTTTGAAAGCCTCGCCCAGAGGATCACGATTCTTAGATTCTTGGAAGTTGGCCTATAATGCTTTGTGCCGATATTTATGTAGCTCAGCCATTGCTTGTCGAAGTCGTTGATATTGAATTGCAGTTGAATTTGTGGAAATAACAATATCACAAAATTCGCACGAGCAATGAGGATCACAGCAATTTGAGCGCACTTCAAATCTCGGTTAACTACTCTTTGTAGCCTCATCTCTCTCAAATTCAATAGATGAAACAAACTTGGGCTCTAATAAATATAAATGCCTAATTTATGTAAATTTTAGTTTAGTTAAATAGTTGATCAAGTTACATTATAATAATTAATTTACTTTCAACCAAAAAGCATACAAATCAAACTAATATAATTTATTATATATTTTAATTTTAATTTTTTCATTACATATTTACTTATTTATTAAGCTATTTCTTAATTTCTTAATTTATCTTTATTTATTTATTTATTTATCTATTTATATAGCTTGTCATAATCACACCAGCATAATTACGTATAAGGTAGATCTGCTTGCGTAGCACAGGAGAAATATTTTATAGTTGATCAAGGTCGACTGTTTGTTTGTGTGGAAAAGTGAAATATTTTCATTTAGTATTATCGGAAAAGTATCTGTTGTGCTTAATATTTCATACGATGTTCTTTACTTACTTTGGCTAGCAACTTTTGCAAAGCTCATCAGAAGGGGAGCTGTCAAATTGTCATGTAAACGCGACCTGCTGCCAGCAGCAGTAGAGGCCATTGAAAACAGTATACCTAAGTTTTCACAGTTGAGTTGGGGTTTATTTTCGCATAGTTATTTATTGAGTGGCAGGCACACATAGAGTGGGAGAGAGAGGGAGATAGAGAGAAAGAGAAAGACACAACGCAGTACAGGTGAAATAAAAACACTTGCAAGTTATGCGAAAACAAAATAAATTTTATAGCAGCCCTGACCCCCAACTAGACCCCCGACTCGTCCCGCTCCATGTAGAGCTGCACAATACACTGGCAAATAGTTTAGCTCCAACCGCACAGCAGAGCGAAAATAAAGCGAAAAATAGAAAATGTTTTTCCTCTTTCTTTTTGCTTTTCATTTCTTTTTTTCACTCTGCTCGGCGCCCGGGAAAAGTAAGTGGAAAAGTTTTGCTAGCTTTGACTGCGCTGCTTAGTTCTGTTAAAGACGGGGTCGTTGCGTTGCACCTGCTGCCAAATTAAAAAGAAAGAAAAAAAGCAGAAAACAAAACAGAAAAGCGAGAGAATACCACAAATAAAAGCGAAATAAAGCTAAAGAATTGCAGAAACTAAAATACAATGGAGTGAAACAGAAACAGGCAACTATGGCTATGACAGACTGGCAATTTCAATAATTTATGATGCCCCGCTTTGAACAACGGGCGGAAATCATTTTGACATTTTCCAGCAATTTTTCTTGCACTTGGCCAAACTTCGTCCTCTGCGCCGCTGCACTGACAAAACATAATTAAGTGTCGTCTTGAGCGTCAACCTCGCCCACAGCAGCATCTTCTCCTTCTTCTTCTCCTACTCCTGCTTCTCCTCTTTCTCAACGCCCTTCACTCTGCCTGCTTGTCCTATTGTGCTCGGCTGCCAGTTGATGAACAGCAACAACGCCAAAACAACGCAAATCCTGCAGTCGAGTGGTACTGACTACTCAATACACTGTTCATTAGGCAACATCTGGGAAATGAGAGTACTTTTCTATTAATTTTGTTCTTCTGTTGAGCTCTACCCATACAGCTTTATAATATAGAAACTGTTCTGCAAACATTTTTAAGCATAACAAAACAAGCGAAGCCCATTTTCAAATTCTCGCTACTCATAAAAAATTGCAAGCATGTCGAGCTTAAATTTTTTTCTTTAATTTTTGTTTTGTTTTTTTTTTTTTTTTTTTTTGTACATAAAATTGAACTTTTGTTTGGTTGTTCCTAGCTGAACCAGTTAAGCTTATCCAGCTTATGCAAAGGATAGAGTGCACAATGTTTTTGACCATCAAAATAGATATATTTATATAAAAAATAAAAACAGAGTGATATATAATTTTTTTTTTTTAATTAATAAATATACAAAAATATATATAATATATGTTATCCAGCTTATGCAGCTTATGTTTTGACCATCAAAATAGATATATTTATATAAAAATAAAAAACAAAAATAGAGTGATATATATGTTTTTTTTTTTTTTTTTTTTTTTTTTTTGTTATTAATAAATATACAAAAATATATATAATATATGTTTTAAAGCAAAAATAAATTGTATAGTTTTTTAAATAAAGTATATTACTTTTTTTAAATATTTAATATTAAAAAATAACAGATAATCATTTAATTAACTTTTTACATATTAGATACATCATTTTATATGTCGTATGTCGTAAAGAATAAAAGAAAGAATAAAACCAAGTTCTTTATATTATACATGTATGTACTATTAGTGTATACATATACATATATACTTAAATATACATATTTAACTATAGTTATGAGTTGCTGATTATAGTTATGAAAGCTATATATCATTGTATATTCTTACAATAAAGCTTCGTTTAGCTTTCTGCTTTTTGGCTTCACATCGATACATATAAGGTAATATACATATATATGACAATACTCCAAATATATAACAAATGCTGCCAAAACTGATCAGAATCAAACGTGGCTCGAGCACAAGTCTTTAACTAAAAGTAAATACATCTGAAAGCATCATCTAGCTGCGAAATAAAACATTATTGTTTTTTGAAACTTTCAGCTTACTTCGGCAACAATCAAAAAGCCCTTGTATCACTTTCAGGGTACAGAGTATATAGAAAAACAAAAAGTTTGCAAGTGCCAGAGGATTGGAAACCGGGAGCTGGCAATACGAAGTAACACGGCCAAAAACTTGCAATGTGGCAAATAAAGCGGCATGACAAGTGACAAGTGGCAAGCCAACTGTAAGCCGTATTACAAAATGCCACATAATGCTGCAGCTGCTGCTGCTGCTGCTGCTGCCGATGCTGATGCTGTTCATTCTGCCCAGACTGCTGGCCTGAATAACTGACTGACTGTCAAGCATTGGCATCAGCATCAGCATCGGCATCAGCATCAGCATCGGCATCGGCATCGTCACCTGAAGCACTGACAGTTGCCATGTCAACATATATGATAAATTGTGCTGCGCGTCGCGTTGTCTGCTTGAAATGATGTGTTATGGAAATGCGACGTCCGCTGACTGCAAATGTCGGCTGCCAGTTGCTTTTGGTATGTCTGCGATGTTAGTGTAAACATCGCATGTAATGTAATTGCACATTTTGCTATCTGCATGCCAAATAGCTGTTTATTTAATTTGCTGAGCATGCCATTGCGAATTGGGCGTCCACGTAGCAGCCATTTAGCATTCACTGCCAGACTGATCTGATGCGACAATCTCGAGTAGTGCGGGAGGCACTTGATGCTCGAATGTTTGTGCGGTGGCGCATAGGAGAAGAACAAAATCAAAATTAACTGCCGCAGCTACTTTAAGTCCGCTTAAATAGAGGAAACATTTCAGTAAAATTGGAGAAAAGTGAAAATAATAAATGCATTGTACATTTAAGAAATATACCAAATTTATTGAAATCCTCTTTGGGTTCATTGCTATGAAGGCAAATAGAAATAAGCTTGAGTACTATAGGAATAGATGGGTAGAAATGTGTGATTAAGAAATGAATAATTCACTCTAATGCCAATGGGACCAAAACAAAACACATTAAAGCAAACTCAAATTTGACATGCATGTTATGGTGCCTTTTAAATTGATTAGCTTTTGTAAGATTATATGCCTGACTGAAATGACTGGAATGAAATAAAAATATATAAAATAAATATGTATAAAAAATTAATATAAATAAATAAAAAAAATTAATTAAATATATATATAAAATAAAATATACAAAAAATATATGGTATATAAAATAAATATGTATAAAATATATATATAAATTTAAAAAATGTATAAAATAAAAATATATATTATGTAAAATAAATATGTAAAAAATATTAATATATAAAATAATACAAAATAAAATCCATATAAGTTTCTACTTCAATGCTGAAATGAATGAAACCAAAGGGACTAACATAAATATAAGCTTCCATTCAATTGGTGTATTCAAGTATGTTAAAATTACCTTTAAAATGTAGTTATTCTAAGAAGAAGACCCAAATATAAGTAGCAAATCCGGTAGAAGGTAATTTAATTTATTTTTATATCAAATCCCAGTGCACAGGCATCTTTAGGAGCCTCGAGACATACATGTTATCAGTTGAAATACAAAGTAAAATTTACTTTTACAATAAAAAAGCTTGCAGTAATATTTTTTTGTAGCCACCAGCAAAAACTTCTACATAGTAATATGAAAACTAAGTAAGAAAGCTCTAGTCGATAGTACTCGACTACGAGATCCCCTGAACCCTTCGAGCAACTGATATTTCAATAATTATTCGCATATGCACACATACACGCACACACACAGACATACGTACGCACGCATAAACACGCATTGGCCGCAATGGTGGCTTACTATGGGAACTTAATTGCTTAATAACTTTTCTTGTGGATATGCTTTTTTCATTCAGATTATGAATATAAAATAGATATGCATGTATTTGCCAAAGCACAAGTCCCTAGTATTTGAGATACGTCTTTTACAAATGTGAGGGTGAGGGGTGAATTAGAGATGGGGGGTAAATCTTGACAAAACCCGAAATTGTATAAAATGCATATAAAATTTGGAAGCTCTAGCTCTAAAGATGTAGGAGATATAATTTTATAGCCGATTTTCGATAAGGTTTTTTATTGATAAAAAATAACGGGATGAGTTATCGATTTTTGGTATAAACTCGATATCCGCGCTTGATTTGAAGACGGACGGACGGACATCAGACAGACGGACGGGGCCAAATCGACTCAGCTCGTCGGCCTGATCAAGAATATATATAATTTGTGGGGCCTGTCACGCCTCCTTCTGCCTGTTACATACATTTCAACAAAACCCTTATACCCTGACTTCCCATTTTCAATGGGTTCAGGGTATAAAAAGAAAATAGAAACGCAGTCACTTAGCAGTGGCTGACTAATCTAGTTGGACAGGTGGAAGCCAGAGTGCTGGACGGTGCGTGGCAGCAGGTAGCCATTAGCAACAACACGAGAGATAAAAACTAAGCCAGTAAACTACAAAAAGAGCAGGGATTAAAAACTTTTGCAGCTTCTAGCAGCATTTATATGCGCCCAACTAATGGCAGCTGAAAACGTGAAAACGCAATGCAATGTAAGCCAAAGCCCAAATGCAACAGACCGGCAGAGCAGAGGGTCTTTGCTTTTTCCATGCCAGAAACTCTCAAAGTTTTCGTTCAAATAATTGCGTCTGCTCGCACTAATAGACATTCATATATATATATATATATATTAAAGCTTACCGCCCGATCGACCCACACGCAACGCTGGTAAAAATAAAAAAATGAGAATCCTTTCACAAGTTTACAACAAATAGTGACTGCAAATGATTTTGTTGCTGCAATGTCTTTTTGAATATCTTTGTATATAAAGCGCTGCCTAATCTAAATCACAGAGAATAACTTGGAATCGAGACATAAAATATGTTCAGCTGATAGGAACGTCAAAACCTTCCATATTTCATGTTGGCTCTGATCACTAAAAATCAATTTTTATAATTTGTAATATATATGGCTTTACGCAGTTTCGAGCCGTATGGCCTAGACGCGTGACGCCCTCATCTCCATTTTAGTAGCATATGCGCTTTGAATTATTTATTACAAGAGCAGAAGGCGTCGCAGCAACAGCAACAGCAACAGCAGAAGCGGAAGCAGAAGCAGAAGCAGTAGAAATAGCAGAGCAGCAGCAGGTTTCATTTTGGCAAAAGCAAGCAATTATGTGTAACGTGGCGTATGCGCAATCTTCAAAAGCAAGAAAATTAATTAGTTCGCCAGCTGCTGGCTGCTGGAGGGGCGCTGAGCTGGCCTTTGTGGTTAACAAGCGAGCTGATAATGAATCGATTTGTTTGAGCAGCAGGTGAGCCAACTTAAGCAGATTTCACTGTCTGTTGGCCAGCAGCCAGTGATTCCAACAAACGACCCGAACAAACATCAATGCCAAAATAACTTCTCAAGTTGTTGCTGCTACTCCAACTGCTGCTGTCTAAGCTTGGAATAACAGCATGCCTGTCGAGCTGCAGGATAAACACGAATCGAATGTCATTAAAATAAAGACAAGACAGCACAAGGCAGGGCTGGGCAGGGCAGGGCAGGGCTGGGCAGGGCAGGGCAGGGTAACGAGCGGGTGGCTGGGTGGTTGTTAGAGGCACAGGCGGTCGCTGCGGTTCGAGCAGCATCATGTTGAGAGCTCATTAAAACGAATACGAATTTAATGGTACTTAAAGCGGAAATTGCCTGGGAAGTTTCCGCCATGCCAAGCACACTACAGCAGGCGCTGTGCAACAGCAACAGCAACAACAACAGCAACAACAACAGCAACAACAATAACAGCAACATCTACAAATGCCATACAAAGCAAGTTGAAGCAAGTCAGCCCAAGATCGAAGCAAAGCTTTTACGAGCTGAAAACTATTAGTGGCACCCATTGCACACACCCACACAGCCACACACACACACTTACACACACACAACAGCTCATCTGTGCATTCACTACGTTTCTTTTTCGCTCTACGTTATTGTGTGCCAAATGAAGCCATCGCTACTGCACACCGACACAAAGCCGATGCATGCTGTGCAAACGAAAAAGGCAAAACGAACAACAACAACAAGAAAGTGGAAAATCTCATGCAGCTGGCAGTCCACTCGACTACAGTGTACACTGTTCTTTTTACGGATTTCTTTTCATCTGGCTATAGATTAAAGCGTGTATTGCTCATAGCATAGAGAGACAGAGAAGGAGCGAAAGGCAGAGATATAGAGAGCAGCAGAAAATGAGGGAGAGCGAAAGTGGAAGAGTTATTGTGATAGAAAGAAAAGCAGAGAATGACAGTGAGCAAGAGAGAGAGAGAAGGACAGATATAGCAAAATGAGATGATATGATGCTTAGAGTGAGAGTGCAAACGAAACAAATCAATAGAGGGAAGAGGAAAAGAAAGGAGCGGTCAGAGGAAGACAAGTATAGATCAAAACAAAGAACGAGAATCAGCAAGTTAGTTAGGAATTTTCACCTCTATTTAGAGAGAAACACATGCAGATGATAAGTTTTTAATTGAGGCTGTAAATCTTTTAGCTCTTAAAGAAAATTTTTAAATTGATCCAATTTACAGTTGTTAGCAAAGCAGTAAAATCTTTGATTTAAAATGCATTGTTGCTAAGCCTTGCTTACATTTTGTTTGTTTAAGATAATAACTGTTTTTATCTGAGTATTTTTAGCAAAAATGTACAGCCAAATGGACAGAGCAATTTTTAAACAGTTGAACCCGGAATCCCCCCAAAAATGGAAGCGAAACTGTGTTTTAAAGTTAAGGCTAGAACGCATTTTAAACAATCATTCATACTAAAGGGAGCTTTGTCTTTGTATCAACTGATAAACATGATATTTACAAATGTCTTACTTTTTGATGATATCTGTAAAATAAATTATTGAATTTTCATTATATTAAAAAATTAATTGGAAATCGCATAAATAAAATAAAAATACATTTATTCATATAAATATATAAAATGATATAAATACAATAAAAATACATATTTTTTTTTTAAATTTCACATTCATCTGAGAGTAAATATAAATTTAATATGGATGACTACATTTACAGTTTATTTCTACTTCATATGCGAAACTTTGTTACAAATGACTTTTTAAATGTGATATGCCCAATGCTGATCTAAGGGTACGGCAACAGAGCAGAGCAGCAAGAGGAGAACAACACCAAATGGAAATAAAACAAAAACCAGCGACAAATGTAACTCTGCTGACTGTGCGAAAATGCGCGACGCCATTATGAGCGAACGCACAAAAGTATGCTATAATTGAATGTTTGTTTGTGTCGCAGGTGTTTACGCTTATGTGTGCATATGTAGATGTATGTGCGTGCCACATGTATTCAAAGAACTGGAAAATTTGCTGCACATATGCATGTCAGCAGCGCCCATAATGGCAATACCATTGTATGTACTTTGAGTTTTCAATTTCAGCTTTGGGCAAAACAGAAAGAGACAGAGGCAGTGGCAGGGGGGAGACAGGGAGGGGATGGAGCGGTGTGTGGTGCAGAAGCGAGCGTGGGATTATGCGGCATATTGACTGAGGCATACATTCCATACTGGGTCTGCGCTTTGCCATCACGCCACAAACAAAAACAACCCAAGCTCAAAAAAGTCAATTCAAATGGTATTTGCTTGTTTCAGCTTATGGATTTTTCGCAAAAACTGCCAGCGGGGGTAAATAAAAACGGTCCACAACCTGCGACGACTGACGCAAATAACGCCTGTCAGCCAAAAAGCATAAGTAAAAATATCACCGAAATGAAAATTGATTGCGAATTTCGAAACAGATTTCAATGCCCAAAATGTGACGACAACTCTGCCAATTCTAACAAATGCAATAAATTTTCAATAACTTTGACAACTTAATTGGAATGTGCAAATACACAGAATGCCATGGGCTATATTTAAAAAAGAATTTCTGCATATATTCGACTATATTTTATAAAAGAAAAAATATGGAAAATTTTCTATATGTGTACATATTTATCTCTTTATAATATATACCAGGGAAGCTCGAAGAATCAAAGAATAATAATATTGGTATGAATATCATATGATTTAAAAAGATACCTATCGATATTTATCGATTATTCCATAATTGATTACTACGACTTTCTTATCCTCTTGCTAAGAGCCCTAACAACTCAATCTCTCAAGAAAATTAAAGTTTTTTCAATTTTTTTTAATTTCAGATTTTTTCTTTAAATGGTATTTTACAATAATTTAAGAGTTTAGTAGATCCCAAGCTTTCCATATTTCATAGTCCACTCATTCTCGTGATAGGGCATTTTCCACAGCTTTTGAAATTTATTATTATGTTTGTAAATATCACGCACAGCGTAGAATGGCCGAAAGACAATCCAAGTGAATCAGATGATTCGTTCACATAACAACCGACAGGCTCACACACGTGCACACCCACTCAGACAAGCAGACACACACCCACACACATGCACACACATACACAGTCAAAGCGTACTTTGAAGTGCACTTAGTTGCCAAAAAGTTAATAAAAATAAGTGCCTCTTAGCCGTTGCCAAGTGCCAAAGTCCGGCAAGCATATGAAGTGGCTGGAACTCGAATTTGGACATGAGCTTCCAGCATCCAGAACCAGAGCCAGAGCCAGAGCTGGAGCCAGCGACAGGACCAGCGGCAGCGAGGCAGCCCAGTTGGAGCCATACCGACATAAGTAATTTAGATTTGCTGCCGTATAGCTTGGCCGCACTTCAGCAATGCACAGCTGCAAAATGTTACCGTTGTTAACTTGAAGCTGGCCAAGAGGGAGCATAAGAAAAATACCACAGACTCGAAAGTATATAATAACAATAACCCAAGCCAAGGCAGCCATGCATAAATGTTGATCATAATTGCTCTTTGCGAAATAACTTTGGGATTCTCTATCTCTCTCCATCTCTCTCTCTCTCTCTCTCTCTCTCCATCTCTCTCTCTCTCTCTCTCTCTCTCTCTCTCTCCCTCACTCTCTTTATGCGTGCGTTATGCCTCTCGAAATCTCGACGAAATTCACAGTTAAATGGTCGAAAATTGTGAATTGCAATTATTTTCTAAGCTATTTCATTTAAATTGTGTATAGCATAATTTCAGAAGTGTGTGACCGAAAGATTTCAATTAAAATCTAAGTCAATTACGAACTTTTTGAAATTACACAAGTTGCTGTTAAATTTGATAGAGAGTTGAACATTTAGAATTTAATTTGTGCTTGACTAAGCTAAAGGGCAAAGTTTGAATGAAATGTTTAAAACATTTTTAACAAACTTTTTTGTCACCTGGAAATTTCTACACATAACAAAACTTTCATCATTTTATTTATTTATTTATTTATATGGGACACTTTATTTTTTTTTTTTTTAATCAATTTACTGTATACAAAGTGTTGTGTTTAACATTTTTTAAATTTAAGAGTACAGGACACATTGTCCTTTTCTACTTAAATATAATTCTATTTTTATAATATGGAAATTGATTCGTTAGAGTTTAACATACGTACGGGGGGAAAATTTTTAATAAAAACTCAAAAAAAAATATCAATATTTCGTCATTTTAATAGCTGTATGAGAAAACCTGTATTTAGGAACATGTACATACACATATATACATTAAAGTTTATAAAAAAAAAAAAAAAAAAAAAACTTTCTCCAGCTTCCAAAGCGCTGCCACTAGAGTCAACAACTCTTCAATTTATTTCACTAAATTAAAAATGAAAGAATCAATTTAAAAACTCTTTTTAGGGTTATATCATTCTAGCCAATAAAAACGAAAAAGTAAATTCGTTTCAGCTTGTTAAAAATGCTTATCTAGCTTATCATCAAAGCTCTATCACTAGAATGGACTATTCTACAATTTCGTTCACTCCATTTGAATTAAAAAAACGAATTTAGAAAATTGCTTTCGGCGAAAAGGCTTCGCCCCAATCTGAGGGGGGGGAAGAGTGGGAAAAAAGTGTTGTATTACGTGCGCCTGCTCAGTTCCATTAAACGTGAAATTGATGTGAGTGGGCGGGCATCTTTAAAACGGCTGTGACCCAGCAATTTAATTAAGCTACGCAAAAATGTGCCAACTACTTGAAGGAGAGCTACAAAGCCGCACGGACTAAGACCTCGTAATCGCAATTCTAATTAAGTGCGAATATCCAGGACAAACCCCGGCAACAAACCTAGAGGGAATATGCCCCGCAAAAATGTGTTGTCGCCTAGTTTATTTCATCTGGAGTGTATATATATATACATATATATATTTCTTCCTTTTTTTACCACGCCAGCTGAATTTAATTAAATTTCCACACTTCAAAGCGTGGGCAATGTGCAAAATTGTGACCCCGCAGCTAGTCAAAAGAACGAATAAAAAAAAAGTAAAAATAAAAATAAAATGCTGTATAAGGGCAAAAGAAAATCTTAATTTTATTTTTCCTCCAGCTGTGTGTGTTTGTTTTTTTATTTTTTTTTTTTTATTCTTTATTTTATTTCTCTGTTGGCTTCGTTATTTTCTTCAACTTTGTTTCCGTCAGGTTACAAATTGTTGGAATCTGCCATTTCCTTTGCCTTTACGTTTGCCATTGCCGTTGCTTAGCTTAGGTTTCTCTTTCTAGGGCTTTTGCTAATTAATTTCGATTCATTGAGCACTTTACAAGAAATTACACACCCACTCAACGCCCTGTGTGGACCCAAGTGTCCTTTTTTCTTGTCATTTCTATTCACATTTCTAGCACTCGGCTGCCATTCCGAACTGCGAGTGCGATTCCGATTTCGATTCCGATTCCCATTACGCTTTCAACTATTAGTTGCAAAGTTTATTTTCTGTTTCTGTTTTATTTCAACATTCTTCTAGCTGGGCTTTGCTGTCGCTTCACTTCGATCCAGCATCAAAGGCACGCCCCTGCCCCTGCCCCTGCCCCACAATGGAACGTATCCAGTTGATGGCAACAAATTCGCAGCCATTGAGCGACAGAGCGCGTCGTATAGCTGGCTAAGCAATGGAACTGAATGTGGTGCATCAATTTTTCGCAGCCACTGTACAGCACTGGCAACCAGCTCGCTGTGGCTGTGTTTCAGTGGCGCCTCGTTGCTCGCCCCGTCCTATCGATGTGTCAATTAGGAGGTCTTACTGTAATCCACGATGTTCGCATTAAGTAACAGTACATATCGTAGCTGTCAAATGGCTCGAAACAGCAAACCCAATTCTCATGTATTCCCCAGCTTATGTCTCCAACTCACTGTATGTCTACCTCTCTCTTCTTCCTTCTCTTTCTAGACAAGCGGATTGCACTTTTGTACACTCTATACGAGTTTCATATATATTTCATATACTAATTCTTTTATTGGTTTTACTTTCGTGAATCAAGACTCATTCGAAAATTAATTAAGTTGAAATTAAATATAGGTGAATATAGGTGACTCGAAGATACTCTGGAAATAGAGTCATATATATCGCAAATTGGAAAAAGCTTGTATGAAATGTTGTAAGTCAGCTATATTAAGAGCCATATATATTAATATAGGCTTAAAGGATCTATCAAAAATATATATTATCTAAATAAATCATTTAAAATAATGTTAAGATATTTAACATAATGATAATATGTTACAGACTAAGAGGTACAGACACAAACAAATACAATTATATTATATTTTATTATATTTGATTGGGCCTTTATTAATAAGTATATAGTTTATATGTATATGTATATGTATCTACCTTATATAACAGTTTCCTTCTGTACAGGGTATGCAAATATTATTGCTTACTATAAATGTGCATATGTATACACATTTATGATATGATATGAGAACAGAGTTTGCCAAGCGAAAACTAATTGAAAAGTTTATGAAACTTGAGTTTCCACATATTTATTTTGCTCCATAGGCCATGATGAAGCACCTTTTGCAGCATCAAAGGG